CCCCAAAACCCCAAAACCCCAAAACCCCAAAACCCCAAAACCCCAAAACCCCGAGAGAGCAAATTTTAATAGAAATTACGTAAGGAAAATAGTTATGACTACGTTCAAGGAAGATCTTGAGAAACATATTGCTAACTCAGGTATTGATGTTGAAGGACTGAGGAAAAGTGCATGGAGAGACATGTACGAGCATGATCTCAACATTCTGAAGCATTTAGATGAAGATAGAGCTGCTAAGTTCAACTCATTTACTTTCAATCTTTCGAGAGAAGACAAGTTCAGGGAAAACATTAGAAGAGGAGCTAGGCTGAAGGAGATGGCTTATGAAGGAAAGATCCCTCATGTAGATCATGAGAACACTGTTATTTTTGTGATGGCAATGAACTCTTTTCATCCGGCAAGTGTTCATCATAGTATGTTCGAATCAATTATCAGGGTGGTTGGATCTGATGAACAAGTCGCAGAAATTTTAGATGATGTTTTAGCTTACAAGATTATCGGCTGTTATGCCCAGACCGAGATCGGTCATGGCTCTGATGTCCAAGGACTCCAGACCGAAGCTATCTATGATGAAGCCACTGAGGAGTTTATCATCAATTCTCCATCCATCAAGGCATACAAGTTCTGGCCAGGAGATCTCGGTAAAATGGCTAACTATGCATGTGTTTTTGCCAAACTTCTTGTAAAAGGGCAAAACTATGGAGTTCAGTCATTTTTGGTTAGAATCAGGGACTCTGAGTCGCATACTCCGTTAAAAGGAATTGAGATCGGAGATATTGGCCCTAAATATGGGTATGCCTGTAAAGATAATGGATATATGGCTTTCAATAATATCCGAGTTCCAAGATCTGCAATTCTTTCAAGATATATCAATGTCTCAAAGAAGGGAGATATCGAAATGAAAGGAGACCCAAGAATTGGATATGCAACAATGCTAGGGATCAGAGTTGGGCTTATAATGATGGGATGGCAAGTAAAGTTTTCGAGTCTTGCTCATTCAGCTAGATATACTTTAAAGAGAAAGCAATTTAAGTCTCTTCCTGAGGCAGATGTCGAGAGACCAATCTTCGATTATCAAGCTACCCAAGAAAAGTTAGTATCAATAACTTGATACTCATATGCAAATATGAGTATCTCTCACTTCTTAACAGATATGTTCTACAAGATGATGGACAATGTTAAGAATGAAGACTTTTCAATTATGAATGATCTCCATGTACTCATCAGTTCTCTTAAGGCGTATTGGATGGACTATGATATGATGGCTCTCTATAATCTGAGAGAACTTCAAGGCGGGCATGGATTCATGTATTTGGGAAATATTCCAGAATTAATAGAGGGCTGGTCTCCAAATGTGACTCTTGAAGGTGATGGATATGTCCTATACCAGCAGACAACAAGAAAACTTTTGAAGAAACTCCAATCATTGGCTAAAGGAAAATCTATTAATAAGTAAGATTTCTAAATTACTGTTTAGGACCTTCTATCCTTATATAGAACAAATCTTCTCTGTTCAAGGCTCCACTGAGTCTGACTCAGACATTAGAGACACTCACAAGCTCCTCGAAGTTCTCAGAGTTGCCCTCAGTCACGAACTTCTCCAACTTGCTGAAGCTCTTGCTAAGCAAGATCATCACTCGTTTGATACCAAGTGGAACACAGTCTTCCAGGTCGAAATTGCCAACCTGGCCAAGCTCCATGCAGTCTACATGTCTGGACTGTCACTGGCTGCCAGAGTGCCTACTCTATCCGAAGACAAGTTCACACAGCAAGTCATGACCAAGGTCTGCAATGTCTTCGTCACTGAAGAAATCCTCAAGCTGGCGCAGACTGCTCTGCTTAAAGGTTATGTCAATGCAGAGCAAATGGTCGGAATCCACGAGTACCACACTGAGCTGGTGGAGTCACTAAAGCCACATGTCGTTGCTCTGATTGAGTCACAGATTATCCATGAAGCTTTGGTACCAGGGACAACATTGAGTGGGCAAGACTCAGACTATGCTGGGAAGTTGTATGAGATGGCGACGCTGAACCCTTTAAACTCCACTCACAAGATGCCAAATGTAGACTTAAAGCTGAAGCTTCTATCAAAGAAGCTATCTAATTTTGCTAAAATCTAGTTCAATTGCTCTCTTGTTCCTGGGGTTTTGGGGTTTTGGGGTTTTGGGGTTTTGGGG